TTTTGCTTCAATCTGCATATCTTCGAGGGACTTGAAAATGTAGTAGTGTATTCAATGCTCTATTGTGGTTTGTCTTAAGATATTGACTGTATTCACCCTTTTCTATACTATATCAGGTAAATAACAAAGCAGCAGTGTTGGGATTTGTTGGGGCTCCTTTCACCCTGGCATCATATGTGGTTGAAGGTGGCTCATCAAAGCATTTTACCCAAATAAAGAGGCTAGCTTTCTCACAGCCCAAGGTAATATGACTGTCCTGTGCTATAGGACTACCAAGTCAACAGAACTGCATATTTGTGAAAATGCAACTTGGAACTGTTTCACCGCTAGAGGTTTATTGCAGACAGATCTATAGTTCAGAGGTATACATAAAAGTGCACTGATTTCAAAATTGGTTCTCATTATGAGAGTCGCAAAGGTTTACTGCAATAGGCCCACCCACTAATTAATGTTTGCTCAGGTCATAAATGGAATAGGTTTCTATCTTGCTTGAAGACAGGGAATTGATATTTAACTTCCCTACTAATAATTGAAGGCTGAGTAAAAAAGCTAATAGGGGCTCAAAAAGGATGGATGTCTTCTGTGTTTGAAGGAGCAGGAAAGAGAGAGTAACATTTGACCCCAAAATAACAGAGGTAAGGGAAGTGCCATTATGATTATTTATCAGCGTGAGAACCACCCATGATTGTAGGACCTACCATATGATAGCTGTTGGTGACAAATCTCATAATGCGGGTAAGGTTAAAGTTAAATCTGCCTTGGAATATGAAACTTGGGATGATTGAGAAGACCGTTGGACCCGATGATTTTAGACTATTTTGGATCTCTTTTCTTCTTTGGTGGATGTTGGTTTTTCTTTTTTTTCTTTCGTTGTGTCATCGTAAGTGGGTTGCTGCAGTTGGGTGGGGGACAACAAAGAGGTACCGAATTAGGTGGTCATGCACTATTAATGTCATGCACTCGTAATTTGTGGTGTTTTACTGGTAATTGTGGATCATTTTTATTTAATCCCAGAAATAATTGTGCTTTTAGTTTAGGTGTCTTGGAGTACATGGCTTGATACCCGAGGCTGTAGGCAAGTCATGGTAGCTTTTCATATTGGAACATTCTGCTGGTTACCCTGCGCCGGGGGGGGGGGAGAAATTCTGCCAGTCTATTTATGGTTTTATGTTGGAACTCTTACTTCTTTTAATGAGTTCTTGGAGAAAAATCAATGTGACACCACCCTAAATGGCATCTTGTAGAAATGATATTTGTCACTTGGCAGACATATGTTTATCTTTATATATTGATTATCATCATTATGTGATAAAAAGGAGTTCCCTTATCTTGTTTTGCCTTTTGCTTTTCCCTTATCTTTTTTCCCTGTAGGTCCTCCATGCACTACTGCAAAAATTTGCAACCTCCATGGCGGAGTATATCAAGTACCAAGCCGACAATGGAGCTCAAGCCGTTCAGATCTTTGACTCGTGGGCCACGGAGCTTAGCCCAGTGGATTTTGAAGAGTTCAGTCTGCCTTACTTAAAGCAGATAGTGGATTCTGTAAAACTAACCCATCCAAATCTCCCATTGATCCTTTATGCAAGTGGATCAGGAGGTTTGATTGAGAGACTGCCGTTGACGGGCGTTGATGTGGTGAGCTTGGATTGGACAGTTGATATGGCTGAAGGTCGGAGACGATTGGGACCTGATGTAGCGGTACAAGGGAACGTGGATCCTGGCGTTCTTTTTGGCTCGAAAGAGTTCATCACCAGTCGGATAAACGACACAGTGACGAAAGCGGGGAATCGGAAACATATTTTGAATCTTGGCCATGGCATTGTAGTTGGTACACCAGAGGAAAATGTTGCTCATTTCTTTGAGGTTGCTAAAGGAATCAGATACTAAAAGCTGATGTAGTGGGTGATTTTCTGTTTTTGTTTAGCAGTTATTTTTTCTTCCCTCGGCTTTTGTTTATTCTTTTGTGCTATTGTACGGATTCAGTATGAAGAACATTTAAGAGCATTCAACCTAACAATCCAAGTTTCCACTATTACTGTTGATTTCAGGCATGCCTGACAATTGTAGATCCTACCTGTAAATCCAACAACACAAAACTGATACTAAATTAGTAGGTTTGGACTTCACTTTAGCGGATTTGGGTGCATTTATTAGACATGTCAACAAAATAATCAGCACGAATCTGGTTAATTTCAACACTGAGTTCACTAAATATGATTCATTCATGATATGAACTTGAGAATACATGACTTAGATATAATAATTATAAATAGGTTAAATATGAATTGAATAAATTTTGACATAATACAATTTAAAAATTTGATCCGGTAAATTGTTTGCCCTGTCTAAAACTATAGACATTTTCAAGTAAAAAAAAAGTGGAGCAATTAACACTGGATGAAACTTATTATGGTTGTTGTCATTTTCATGTGCATGAACTTTGAAGGAGAGTGAGATCTATTTCAATATTTTTCTTTTCGGATCCGTTCAAGTGTAAGTAAGTCTCGTCTTCATACACGTTGGGTTATTATTAACTTTTAAGTAAAATTAATATGTATGTAATTGAGAGATTAAGATCCAAAATAAGGACATTCATGGGTTTATAAGATTAAATCTCATTGTTTAGTGTGTAACGAACATTACAATCAACTGATGGCCCACAGAAAGTTGCTCACTAACCTATTCTGTCCAAGTGATGACATTACTATAAATCATTTCTTATATGTAATTCTGGTATTATTATTAATTAATAAGAGAGAGAGAGAGAGAGGAACCATGAAAATGTGTGGGCCAACGCAGACTTGAAGAACCTATCTATCAATACAAAGACAGTACACCAGTTGAACCCGTCCGTCGTCCACTGCAAATTAAAAAGACGTTACACCATTCGAAATTAATAACCCATCACTGTGATGCTCTCTTTGTCCAACTACATCTGTCAATTTCTGCACTGTGTATGTGCTTTCAAATGGAAGATATATGTATTGGGTGTGGATGGATGTCAGTTAAGTTGGTTTTGTTTTTAAGAATATACTAAAAGTAGTTAGAGATGGGGCAACGTCAAGGCTTGTGCGGGCATTTTGTTCTCCATGACTTTTGTAAAATTTCTCAAACATATTTGAGTTGATCCACTAAAAGTATTTGATGTAATCCATAGAAGTTTTTGAATCATGTGAAGGAAGTGTTATGCTACATGCAAAAACAAAAAATGGAATCAATCAAAGAAAAAGATCCCTAAGATTAACAACATGTCAACTAATTTTAGTCAGCGGTAGGCCTAATGGTCCTAATCCCCATTGTTGGACATTAATGTTGTCCATTCGAATCTCGTCGTCCATCTCTCTTATAACAGAGAAAAAACACTCGTTCAAAAATACATTTATAATATCCCGTTGTCATTATAAAATTAGTATAAATAAGACACGTATTGAAATTCTCTCGGAAATAGTCTGTAACTCATTTTTTGTTTTTTGGATAATAATTCATATTAGCATTCTTGCCCAAGTTAATGACAAAGTTTTGCATCAAAGAGTATTAATAGAATCGATTTTGATAATTCTTAAATAAATTTCTTATTCCCATTCCGGCTCACTCATAACTGTGTGCTCTAAATACCACTATTAAGCACAATTAAAGATTTTTATTTCAACCCAAACTAGAGCCACCTCATCGTTTAATATATATATATATGAGCAATGCTATTGGGACATAATTTAATGACATAATGAGTTGTCACCAATGAAATGATGGTGAATTCATTTAATGCTACAATAGGACCCATCATTAAATATATTTCACTATCATTTTATTTATGTCCCTAAATTATGTCCTAATAACATAAGTGATATATATAGGCTAACCTCCACATTAGGTAGCCATGGTCGGTTAGAGTATTTTAATAAAAGGTGCACTCTTATCATATTACATCGACTAAATTTCTAAAAGAACTTGAGTTTATATATTATTTCTTTCCTTTTTTTTTTCCTATTGTCATCGTATTATTTAAAAGGTTGGATGGAAAACTATAAAAAAAAATATATATTAGGGCAATAAAATAATTATGTAAAGGTATGGTGGTGGAACTAAAAAAATTTAAATTATTGGCTTTTTTTTAAAAAAAAAAAATTGAATGAGTGATGTAGAAGAGTAGTTACGGGAGACATGTGTTGAAACATGATTGGTTAAGTGATAATTAAATAATTAAAAATTCTAAAAAAAAAGAAAGAAAATGGGGGAAAGCTTTTCAAGCTATCTCCCACCTAATTTTATTGTTTCATATACATATAGTATAGATTAGTCCTATTTTTGTCATTGAGTTAGGTGGGCCCTTGAGACTCTTACATTAGCAAGGAGCAAAAAAAGTGGAGATACGATTTTTTAAAATGAACTAGTAAAGTCGGGTTAACAAAATAATCTTTTTAACCCCGTCACCCATTAGACTTGTTTGTTATTAAAAATTATGTATAACTAATTAATAAACATTCTTGCTAACTAATTAACAAACTAACGTAAAAACGGATTAACGTATATTACTTGAACACAACCTGTTTATTAAATAAATCTAACGGATGTATCTGTTTAACACTTGCACCGCACACATTACGATCTCACTTAAATCTACTTAACGTTGTATCAATTCATTTCCCATTTTGACAAATTTACATTAAACCATCAAATAAATAGTTCAACAAGAATCAACACATGATGCTATGCACAATTTATAGGCACTACGATCTCTACACAATTAGTTTTATCATATATGATTTTAAATAAAATAAATAAATTTTAATACGATACAATTTAAATCCAACAGAACTTAAGCACGACGCGACGACAACCAGCAAGGTGATACATGTGGTGACAGATTCGCCGTGACGTACGAGTGTTGGTTAGTGAAACATGTCCAAAGCAACAGGCCTACGTGCCGTTTAGTGACGACAAAAACAGGAACACAGCCTTCAACTAACCACACCTTCATCTCACCCACTACACTCCATAAAAAGGCTCCTTTACCTCTGTATTCGGACCCTATTTACATATATACACATCATTCCTCTTCTCTCTCTCTCTCTCTTCAAAGCTTCGGACCCGTCCGAAGCTCTTCGCTTTGCAGAGGTACTTTTCCTTCAACCCATTTTCCATTTCTCAAAATTATGTTTTAATTTGCGGTTCTTTATGGTATGGATGATTAATCTAAATCGTGGGTGTTTATATATATGTGATTATATATATTGATCCATTTGGGTGTTGCAGATTCGAATTTTCTTCTGCTAATGTCTTGTGCATGTAATCAAGAAAATTATACTCGCATACGTAGATTTTTGTTTTAATTTGTTGATGCGAAATTTCTTTTTAAAAGAGGCTCAATTGGGAAAACTGTTGTCATGTTTGAGGTTTATTTATGTATACTATTTCATAATTATGTTAATTGTTCATTATGGTGTTCTTTTTTGATTATCCTCGTCTTATCAAACTATGCAATGTGCATTTTGTATTTTTCTCTAGTTATCTGTCTTCTAGTTATTGTATGGAAAAGAAATTTTGAAGCCTTTCCTGATCTGACGATGAATTGTGTTTGTGCATAGCTTTATTTTGTGTGTGTGTTGGGGGGAAGAGAGGGGGTTTACTTTTGAAGTGATTGGTCTTGCATTGCGTTCATGTTGTGGTTTCTGTGATTTGGTGTTAATTAATCAAATCAAGCTTTATGTACCAATCATTTGGGATCAGTTAACTCATCATGGATCCGACAAAGTTTTACGCTGGTTGTTGGCAAAGTTTTACGCTGGTTGTTAATTAATCAAACAAATTTTTATGTATCAATCATTAGGGGTCGGTTAACTCATCATGGATCCGACAAAGTTTTACGCTGGTTGAATACAACAATGGCGGAGTTTGATTTGGTGTTAATTGAAGAGATTTTATTTCAGCAACAAACCTTCCAATTAACTCCTTTTTTTTTTTGTAGATGGGTATCATTAGCTGCCCAAGGATTGTTGCTGAATTTGACATATTATTCTATGTTCTGTAGGTTGTTGATCATTTATTAGAACATTAGTATCTCTATTACTTTTCAAGTCATTCAGAATTTACAGTTGAACTTCATGGAGATTAATTTAGTTTCCTGCAGGATTTGTTGATTTTCTCTGTAAATTTTTTGACAGTTTCCTTCTGTTTTACAGCTATACCTAATATTATTGACAGTCAAGTGCCTGGAAATGCAAAAAGATGTGTTTGAACGCTGATTTTTCCTTCCCCAAAGCCTGTGAGGTTGGATGTCAAAACAGGGTACTACGGTTTATTCTTGATAAAGTTGGACAGATGGATCGTAGCAGATTCAATCTTTGTACCCAGAAGCACAATGAAGCCACAAGTTACAATCTGCATGTCCAGTCGAAGAACAATCTTGTTGAGGGTGGTTGAGTTCGTCAAGTGTGAAGAACTCCTGCCCTGTAAATAAATAATATTGGAGTGGCAGGAGATTATAATTTGTAGTTTGGTAATAAGTTGTTTATTTGAAATGGAAAATAAGGGGAATGTATTGATGCAAAGATATGATTTTGGGAGATTATTAGGCCAAGGAAACTTTGCGAAGGTTTACCATGGGAGGAGTCTCAAATCTGGCCAGAACGTGGCCATTAAGGTAATTGACAAAGAGAAGGTTCTGAAGGTGGGGCTGATCAATCAGACGAAGCGAGAGATTTCTGTTATGGGATTGGTAAAACACCCAAATGTAGTGGAGCTTTATGAGGTTATGGCCACCAAAACCAAGATTTACTTTATCATGGAATATGCCAAAGGTGGTGAGCTCTTTAACAAGGTGGCCAAGGGAAGGCTCAAGGAAGACATTGCTAGGAAGTATTTTCAGCAATTGATTTGTGCTATTGATTTTTGCCACAGCAGAGGTGTTTATCACCGGGATTTAAAGCCAGAAAACCTGCTGCTGGATGAGAATGGAATTCTGAAGGTATCAGATTTTGGGTTGAGTGCGCTTGCAGAGTCAAAGCACCAAGATGGGTTACTTCACACAATGTGTGGTACCCCAGCCTATGTTGCTCCTGAGGTGATAGGCAGAAAAGGATATGATGGGGCTAAAGCTGACATTTGGTCTTGTGGGGTGATCTTATTTGTTCTGCTGGCTGGTTATCTCCCATTCCATGATTCAAATCTTATAGAGATGTATAGGAAGATCAGCAAGGCTGAGTACAAATGCCCTAATTGGTTTCCACCGGAAGTGCGAAGGTTACTAGTGAGGATACTTGATCCAAGCCCACACACTAGGATTGTCATTGCCAAAATTATGGAGAACCCCTGGTTTAGAAAAGGTTTGAACTGTAAACACATAAGAACCAAAGTAGAGAACAAGGAAAAGGTTCCATTCAATGCTGATGCTATTTTTGGTCCTAGTGGTAGCAACAGTGACGCTACTGAGGCAAAGCTGGAGTTGGCCAAGCCCATGAATTTGAATGCGTTTGATATTATTTCTCTTTCAACAGGATTTGATTTGTCTGGTTTGTTTGTGGACAATGACCAAAAGGAGGAGGTGCAATTTACATCTACACAGCCTGCCTCGGCTATCTTATCCAAGCTGACGGACCTTGCTGGGCATCTGAGCCTGAAAGTACAGAAGAAGGAACAAGGGTTGTTGAAATTGGATGGATCAAATGAAGGTAGAAATGGGGCATTGTCCATAGATGTGGAAATATTTGAAATCTCCCCATCTTTTCATCTGGTGGAGCTGAGAAAGTCTGCTGGTGACACATTAGAGTATCAAAAGATGCTGAAACAGGATATAAAACCAAGTCTCAAGGAAATCGTGTGGGCCTGGCATGGTGAGACACGGCATTTAGAGCAACAATAGTGACAATGGCTGCTGATGCCTTTCAAAATGTGCTATCTGTAAGTTGTTTTACGTTTGTGTTAGTACTTTCCCATGATTCTCAATGTGTTTGATCTGTAATACATTGACAGTTATAATCAATATATGCAAGTTTGTTTGGACATGTAGCTTGAAGGAATAATGTTATTGTTTCAGCTGGGAGGCTTTTGATTATCTTATATCAACGATTTTTTTGTGGTTTTGTTCACTTTATATAACAGTTTCGATTTTCATCTTTGTTTTGGTAGCTTTGTTGGTGTGCATAGAACTCTCTTAGCTCCATTGTTATTGTTATAGAGATTTTTCATCAGGGCTGATCAGATACAAGTGAATGTAGAAAGAAGAAGACAGCATGCAGATTTAGTTAAGGGAACAGTGGGATTCGACTATCTCTCAATGTATCACATGCTGACACATGAACTTGGTAGAAAACAGACAGCAGAACAAAGCTGAAATTGAAGACCTGATAGTTTTTAAGAATACTACGAACAAAGGAAACCGGTGGAGCAAAACGTGTAGTTTTAAAATTAGTAGTAGTGGTTGCATCCTAGATCACATAAAGCAGCGGCAGGCACGAGGGCAAGAGGCAGGAGCAGGAGCGGGAACGACAAAAACGGCAAAATTCAAAAATATTTAACCGAGTATCTTGAGAACGTTATAATATTATATGCATCAAGACAAACATTCAACCATAAAAAGTTTAATAAAAATAAAATATAAAAAATTAATTTCATGTACAATTTATGGAAAAATATTTAATTTTTTAATATATATTAATTATAAGGTCCTAAAATAGTAATTATAGGTTACAAATATCATTATAATTTGATATGCATCTTTATGTATGCTTCAATACTTTTCAAATAAAAATTGAAGTAATAATGAGTAAGTATATAACTTAATAAGAACACGAATTCGCAAATTAAAAATTTTAATTTGTGAATTGTGTAAAATGAGATAACAAAAAGATTATGTGACTAAGGTTGCATCTTGGACAAATTGGGTGGTTGAATGGTCAACTCAAGATATCAAACTCTTCATCCAAGTTTAACTCAACCCGAGCACTTTCAACTCAAGCTTAGTCCAAGTTTCTAGTCCAAATGGATTTTTATCTTGTAATGGAAAAATTTCAGAGTCCACATTGGTTGCTTTGATTTTTGAATTAATTATGCTTTAATATTCATAATTAACCGTGCCCTAAGGTTAGTATGGAGCTTTCAAACAAGAAAGGTCCACTAATGGGGAAAGGCTTGTTTTAAGGCAGGACTGTATATTTATAGTCTTCTTGGCCATGACCGTTGAAAGGAAGACTGAGAAAGAGGGCTTGGGCATTTTAGTCCGGGTCCTTCTAGGAATTTTCATGAGATAGGGCCTTTTTTAGTCAAAGAATTCTTGGGGCCCTTTGCAGCTGCTTAATAGGCTTGGTGTCTGGGCCAGCGCTGATTGTAATATTGGACCAGTTTAAAACTACTTTAAATAAGTTAACTTTTAAGAATTAGGGAAATTGGAAGGAGGTACACCAAATTGGAGTTAATTGTAAAAAAGTACACATAAAAAATATAGGGTAAATTTTTTTTTAATTTTAATACTTATTTATTTTTAAGTACATTATTTGAAATTTCTATATTTTCTTCTGACTTTTATATCCTCCCTTAATTCATGCGTATTTTTTTTTGGAAAACAGTATATTAAACATCTCCTAGTTTTATGAGAGAACTTTAATATTCCGTATTTTTATGTCTTTCCTTGATTCATGCGCATTTTTTTTTGGAAAGTAGTTTTTTTTTTAAATTATATTTAATGCACCTTGATTCATACGTTTTTTTTTTTTTGAAAAATAGTTTTGTTTTCAAATTATATTAATATTCAAACTCCATAACAGTGTAACAAAACATTTACACGAAATATTATACTATTTTATTTTGTCAAACATATATTTTCATATACTTTCATTTAAAACAATCCATCTCTGGTTTGAATATGTTACTACATGCACAAAATCACTGAACACTGTTTTTATTATAGTGTATTGTTATACTATTGGTTAATGAATTTGTTATGTTTTTGTTACAGTGTAAATAATTTTATATTTCAAATTATATAAAAAAATAATTAACAAATTTTAAAATTCAAACAAAGTGATATATCCTAAAATAAACGGAATATTAAAGTTCTCCTATAAAACTATGAGATATTTAATACATAAATATAATTTGAAAACAAAACCACTTTCAAAAAAAAAATATATGCATGAATTAAGGTACATTAGAGATTTTGAATTAAATGACTCTAAATTTTAACGCTTAATATAAATGCCTTGTCACATTTTTTAGGAACAAAAATTTTACAAAATAGGTATTTACGTTTTTGTATCTCAGCTGTGTACTTTTTTTTTAAAATATTTTATTATGTGTACTTCTTTACAATTATGTCTAATTTGGTGTATCGGCTTCCAAAGAACCCTTAAGAATTTTGGAGTAAAAAATAAGTCAGGTCCACATCTTGACTTTTCTATTAGTTTATGCAGTAATTTTTTGGACAAAAAAAATTTTATTTAGGTTAATTCAAAAAATTGAATTTATAAATTTTGTTTCCAACTTTTTATAGTTTTATCGCGAGTTTCACATAATTTTTTAGTTTATTACATTCATATTTAGAAACTATTACACATAATTTACACATACATATAATTTTTTTTTATTTTAACATAAAAAAAAGCCAAAAAAGTTAAAAAAAAAAAAACATTTTAATCGAATTTTTTCAACCTTTTTAAGAATACCTTTGTGGTAATTTTTTAACTCAGAGTTTTGTATAAAAAATTTAAACAGCAGATTTTCACTCAAAAAAGTCACCTCCAAACAAGGCCATTATCTATCTTTGTATTAAAATAATCAAATCAAACAGGAGAACACATTTGAAAATTTTTTGCCGCATTTGCTTAATTTTTTATATTTTAATTATAAAATAAGTTTTTATACGTTGGGTCACATGTCCCATGTAACTACTTTTCCACTTAGCTAATTACTTGCCACTAATGTAATTGTTATTAAATTATCATTTGATAATTGCACTATTATTCCCTATCCAATATTCTAATTTCAAGTGATAGGGGTGGAAAAAAGGGAAAGAGTTGAAGACGGGGTTAAGTTCTATGCATCGCACAAGTATGTCGCTAGGTTCCCTTGAAAAGGTTGAACATTCGCTCTTCTAATCACATGACAAAGTTCCCCTAATCTTAAACATCCTTCAATTTTATGAATAGTTTATTAATTATACAATGCATATGTAAACATTTGTCGTGTGGGTTATGGCAAACATCTAGCATATTGATTATAAGATCTTGAAATAACAATTATAAGTTATAAATATCATTCTAGTTTTGTGTGTATCTTTATGTATGCGTCAATACTTTTCAAATAAATATTTAAACAATAATGAACAAGCATATAAATAAGTAAAAAACAAATTGAATTTGTGAATTTTGTAAAATAAAATTGTGAATTCACGGAGAATTCGCTCTCAAAACACAAATTCAAGTGTGAAGCATCAAACTGTTTTAAAGAATGATGTGACTAAGGTTACATCTCGGATAGATTGGGTGGTTGACTGGTCAACTCAAGATATCAAACTTTCAATTTAAGTTTAACTCGAGGTCGGTCCAAGTTTCTAGTCTAAATGGGTTTTTATTTTATAATGGCAAAATTTCAATGTCCACATGTGTTGCTTTGATTTTTGAATTAATTATGCTTTAATATTCATATTTAACCTTGCCCTAAGGGTTAGTATGGAGCTTTCAAACAAGTAAGGTCCCCTTAATGGGGATATGCTTTTTTAAGGTAGGAATAGCTCTAGATGTTGACGATCAGACAGTAGCTTTATTCTTTTTATTTAATCGTGTTTAGGACAAGGGGACAGCATTTAATGTAAGCATGATTGTAGCAATACAAATAGACACAGTAAACGAATAACTTATTTCTATCATTTTTTTCTTTTTAATCAAACGGACCCTTAAAAAATTACTTTCATATGTTAACCATTTACGTTGTTTGCAGTGTGGTTCGACACAACTCCAACAGCGCCAAGCCGGGAGGTATGGCAGCATCTTCTCTAGCGATTCGACTGAACCCCTTCGATTCCTGTTTTGAATTTTAATGTTCGCTCTTTAGTAGCTCTTATGTCGTCGAGAAAAGAATATCAAATTGTTTGGATCATTTATTTGTCATAACTCACGATCAAACCCACTGGAATATTTATCAAATAAACGAAATATTTGATGATTCACCGTGAACCAAACATGGGATTAGGCGGAGCAAAAGCCCATATTGTAGTATTGGGAACCCACACCCAAATTGAAGTAAAAGAAGAAAACACTAGCGGGGAAAGGACGTGGTACCGTCAGCGGTAGGATATCAAAAATTATAATTTTTAAAAGTTAATTTATAATTTTTTAGAGGTGTAAGTTATAATTTATAAAAAGTGTGACCGATCATAAATTTATGCGTACTTGTTATCGATCATGGGCTTCGTTTGAATAGTTGTAACTTTCGATACGGTACCAAAATTATTTTTTTTCTGGTATAAAATTCAATGTAAATGATTTTGAGAGGGATGCTGGTGACTGTTACATAAATCTATTTGAAACCGTTTGATGAACTTATATACTTTGTTTTATATTATAGATATAACGTGGAGTTGATTGGTGCCATTAACATAGAGTGGGGGGGGGGGGAGACTATATATTTAGAATAATGCTATTAAAACTTAATATATTGACCTAATTTGTTAACTTAATTTACTATGATATTTGAATTGGGCCTTTTAGTCCGTGCGGTTCTGGGACAATTAAGTTAGACATAAAGAACACAAATTTTATTTATATTAAAATAATCAAATTAGATAGGAGAAGGGATATGAAATTTTTTCGCTCTATTTGCTTAATTTTCTAAATTTTTTATTTTTTAGAAATAATAATATTTTTGATCTCTAAAATATATATATTATTTATTATTTTAGTCCCCAAAGTATTAATTTTATCAATTTTGTTGCTAAAATATTTAATTTGTGACCATTTAGTTTTTGACGAAATGATCACGTGTTGAGTACGTAGTCACTTTTATCAAAAAACTTGACAAATTATTTGATTAGGAATCAAAGTAACACGAATTAAAACTTTAAGGACTAAATTGATAACAATAGTGACCAAACTAATAAAACGAGCATAATTTAAAGACTAAAAATATTATTAATCTTCTTTTTTTAATTATAAAATAAGTTTTATCCATTATAAAAGAGTAAAGTACATTTATTCCTTTATTATATTTTGTATCCTCAATTATAAAATTTCTCACATTGCACCATAAAGTATTAATTTTTTTTCATATTAATCCAATAAATAACGACAAACTTAAAAATCTATCAAAAGAGTGAGTGAAACCCCAAACAGCTTCCCGCTAAGTACCTAGTACTATTTAATTTTACCTCTTTCACAATAAAATGATTGGAGTTTAAGAATGACAAAATCATGGATTGATATTTTTTTTTTAACCTGCACATGTGCGATATGTAGTTACATATTGGTAATATAGACCGCTTATATGCACATTTATCATAAAAAAATTGACAACCGTTATTTATTCGAGTAATATGAAATAAAATTAATATTTTAGAGTGTAATGTGAAAAATTTTATAATTGAGGGTATAAAGTAAAACAAAGATAATAATTCAAAGGAGTAAAATATAATATACCCATTATACAATGCATATGCAAACATTTGCCGTGTGGGTTAAGGCAAATCTTCGTCAAGCCATCCACCCTTGATTTTCTTCAGTCTTTTGTCTTTTGGTTGCCGTGTTGGGGGAGTCTGATTAAAAATATCTAACGGAGGATTACCCAAAAGTTCTTATGTTCCATTCTTAAATCTCTTTCCGTCAATGTAGCATTACTGTTCTAATAAAAGATGGAAAGGATTGCATGAATGTAGTACCACAAGTTTTATAATATGCACCGGTTTCTTCGTGAAGACTTTACAAAAAGATTGAACAAAGAACAAAGACTACTTATGCATGGAGATTTGAGCTTGATATAAGAATGAACATAAAATATTACAACTTTTTTTCCTCACTCTCGGAAAGATGTAAATCTATGACTTTCCGATGAATTCCGAAATAAAGATTTAATTTTATAATAATGTTATACTGATCAAATTTTAGAATTAAATTTGAAATTTAAACGACATGACAGTATATTATTTAGAATTTTTATTAGAACCCAAATGACATGACATCAAATAAAGAAGTTCAAATCAGCTATCATTTGTAATCCAAATTTAAACTTGTCATTTGGAATCAACATTTTTTCGGCGATTTGAACAATAATTTATATTATTTGTGGTCGACCAACAGTAAGCAGTAAAGCTCCACTCTTTTGAACCCACAGATTCGTTATTCATATATATATATATTAGATGATTATAATTCAACAAACTCAAGACGAAACTCATTCTCAAAGAAAGAAGAAGTTTCTAGGAACAAAGAGCACACCCCATTACCAAGAAAATTTTCAAAAATGAGTCCATTGTCATTCCATGCAGTTCACGTACAAAAATCATGTTTTGCAATGATTATGTTATTGCATTTTGTATCATCCCTCACTGCCACTCCCAGAAATAAAAACGAGACTGATCGACTTACCCTCCTAGCCATCAAGGAGAAGATCACAGATGACCCTCAAGGTGTTGTGAGCTCGTGGAATGCTTCTTCCCATTTCTGTGACTGGGAAGGGGTTATATGCGGTCGCCAACGCAGCAGAGTCATCATCATAGATGTTGCATTCGGAGGCTTAGCAGGCACTTTATCTCCTTATATTGGGAACCTCACCTTCCTTCGAGGCTTGAGGCTCCAGAACAATACCTTTCACGGTGAAATCCCTCGCGAACTTGGTTGTCTTTTCAGCCTTCGAGAACTGAGATTGAGCAATAACAGCTTTGAAGGAGAAATTCCAGCCACCCTATCGCGTTGCTCTGAGCTCATGTACCTCGACGTTGGTAATAATAACCTAGTTGGCGGCATTCCAAAAGAGCTTAGTACCTTGTCAAAGCTTACGATTCTCGCCATTCATTCAAACAGTTTGACAGGAGGAATCTCATCTTTCATTGGAAATCTTACTTCTCTGAAAAGTTTATCTGCATCTAACAATCATTTTGAAGGAAGCATTCCAGATGTGTTCGGGCAGTTGAGAAACTTAAGAGAAGTTAGATTGAGTAACAATAACCTCTCTGGTATTATCCCTCCATCTATTTATAATCTTTCTGCCTTAACTGTGCTCTCTTTGGGTTATAATCAACTTCATGGTAGTCTTCAGCTAGGCATAGGTATGATGCTTCAACATCTTCAAATCCTTCACCTACAGGGTAACCTATTTACTGGCCCGCTCCCACTCTCAGTATCCAATTTAACAGAATTAGAGTCCCTTGATGTATATCACAACTATTTCACTGGAAAAATCACAACCAATTTTGGAGACCTAAAGAAGATTCATCACGTAATGTTGGTTTCAAATAATTTTGGAAGTGGAGAACCTGATGAAATGAATTTCTTTACTTCTATGATCAACTGCAGCATTTTGGAAATATTGGGTTTAAGAGGCAACCAATTTGAAGGGGTGCTACCAAAGTCTGTGGGAAATCTCTCAACAAAGCTTTTGGCTTTAACACTAGGTAGAAATTTCCTGTATGGAACCCTACCTCCCTCACTAGGTAATCTTATTAACTTAGGTTGGTTAAGCTTGGAAGAGAATCGATTCACAGGCATAATTCCCACTTCCCTTGGCAATCTCCAGAAGTTAGGAAAATTGGACCTTGGTAGAAATTATTTTTCTGGGACAATTCCTGATTCCATAGGAAACTTGTCATTCTTGTTTGAACTTTACTTAGGGAATAATAGATTAGAAGGTACCTTACCCTCGAGTCTTGGAAACTGCCAAAAATTGTTGCTTTTAGATCTTTCCCAAAATAATCTTAGTGGAACCATACCCAAACAAATTTTTACACTTCCCTTTCTATCAATTTCACTAAATCTTTCTCAGAATCATTTACTCGGACCCCTGCCATCAGAGGTTGGCAACCTCAAAAGCTTAGTTGACTTGGATGTATCAGATAATAACATATCTAGTGACATTCCAAGTAGCCTAAGCAGCTGCACTGGCCTTGTATATCTACATCTGGAGGGAAACTCTTTCCACGGGTCTATTCCTGCATCATTGAAGTCTTTGAGAGGTCTTCTAACAATTGATCTTTCTCGCAACAACTTAAGTGGACAAATACCAGAATTCTTGGGGCAATTGTCTTTGGCAACCTTGAATTTATCATATAACAACTTTGAAGGTGAGGTGCCAATTAAAGGAGTTTTCACAAACTCGAGTACCATGTCAGTTGTCGGGAATAATAGAATTTGTGGTGGCATATCTGAACTACGGCTACCTAGATGCACCAACAAAAAAATAAAGGACAAGATGCATCTTGTGTACATTTTAATTATCTCGGCAACGTCTACTCTTGTTGGGATAACCCTGGTGTCATGCCTCATATTTTGTTGGTTAAAAAAGAAAAGCAAAGCTCCATCTACACGATCATCTATGCGAGAAGGACTCTTGCAAGTATCTTATGAAAGGCTCCTTAAAGCCACCGGTGGATTTTCTCCAGTAAATATGCTTGGTGTGGGCAGTTTTGGCTCTGTGTATAAAGGGACCCTTAATCAAGAAGGATCGATTATTGCTGTCAAAGTACTTAACCTCCAGCGTCGTGGAGCTTCCAAGAGTTTCATGGCTGAGTGTGAAGTCTGGAGAAATATTCGACACAGAAATCTAGTCAAGATCATTACTTCTTGTGCAAGTGTTGATTTTCAGGGCAATGATTTTAAGGCTTTAGTGTATGAGTTCATGCCTAATGGTAATTTGGAAAGGTGGTTGCACTCAAGTGCAAAATCGAATGATAGACAGAACGAGCTTCCTAGCTTAAATCTTCTTCAAAGAATAAACATTGCCATTGATGTGGCTTCTGCACTTGACTATCTTCATAACCATTGTCAAAAGCCGATCATTCACTGTGATTTAAAGCCTAGCAATATCCTTATTGACCATGATATGGTTGCCCACGTGGGAGACTTTGGGTTGGCAAGGTTTCATCCAAGAATCACAAATACCATTCAAAGGAGTTCGAATGGAATAAGCGGAACTATTGGATACACAGCGCCAGGTAATCACAATACTCAATATACTTCTTTATATAATATCAATTGTCTATCCCAATATCACAATAACTATCAAAATTTTGGTTCAAGAGCTATTAATGGACTTCTTTTTAGCTAATGCAAATATCTTACTAATACAGAGTATGGTATTGGAAGTGAGATATCAACTAAAGGGGATGTTTATAGTTATGGTATCTGCTTGTTGGAGATGATGACAGTAAAAAGGCCAACGGACGACATGTTTCAAGAAGGCCTTAATCTTCATAATTTTGTTAGGATGGCTATACCAGACAATGTGATAGAGATCGTGGACCAAGTGTTGTTGAAGAATAATGAAGAAGAGACTTCAGCAGCAGAAAATAATACTAGACAGAACCAAAGCATAGTGAAGAAAATAGAGGAGTGCTTGACTTCAGTTGTGAAAATTGGAGTGGCGTGCTCTGTAGAGTCCCCACAAGACCGGATGAACATAAATGATGTTGTCCATGAGCTGCAATTTGTTAGATACAAACTTTCACAACACTGATAATTAATGACCTCTACATGCCTAGGAATAACAAGTTTGCACACCGTCCTTTAGCATCTTTGTTCTATAATATTGGCTCATGTTTTCTGCTATTAGTCCTTGCATAGGATGAGTTCTCTATACCAATGGAAAATAGTGCAATAGTGATACCACTTCAGTATTACTATGTGGTGTCACCATCCAATAATTTGTCAACAAATAAATGAATAGATCTCATATGAATTAAAAAATGTCGCTCCATGTTAGTCAATAACTATCTACATGCAAGAAAGTGAGGTTCACCTTACTCATTTGATATGTTATTATTGAATGGTGATATCTCGTGACAATTTTGACATGATATCACCGTTACACTGAATATCTACTCTTGGTTATGCTAACTCGATCTAACTCAATGCCAACTCTGACCTAATTTGGCCAACCCACATAATTACTGAAATATTACATGTCTAATCTTTGTGTTTTAGTTGGTTGATATACCATCATCTACCAACGTGTTTTTGCCCCAATAATACTCTTTATCTTGTAAAAATTTTACCTTCTTGAAATCAATAGTTTAAGTCCCCCATCTCCCTCTCCCCCTTACTTAAAAAAAAAAAGATATAACACAATCTACTCTGTCAAAGGTTAGACTTTTTTGAATGTGGTATATGAACATGGGTATGTTGGCATTCAACCTTCTAGACTCTCCTTTGAAGCTCTGTTGTAAGATTTGCATTGATGTTAGATAAGCAGTTATACTATGTGATAAATTAGTGTTTATTAATCCAAAAAATATATTTATAAATAAGGATGAATCAGTCAAGCACATTGAATAATTCTCCAAATGATGAAGGTATACTAAAGATGTATAATTCCTTAATCGCATAGATTTATTATCCTTTTAGGTGGTATTTGATAAAACTGAAATTTGAAGTCTAAAAACTGAAAGTTGAATGCTGAATTCATAAATTGTTTGGTTCCTACTAAAATTTAAGTACTAAATTGAATCAAACTATTTAGTAACTACACAGAGCTGACGTTTGAAAATAAATTAATTTTTAATTTTACCCTTCCACTCTTTATTTTGAAAATATTTATAAAATATATTTTTATCTAATAGAATAATAACAAATTGAATAGCACAATCAGTGAGCAATAACTAATATTGATAATCAAAAAATATTAAAAATGTATAATAAATTAGATTTCATTAACAACAAATTGAAAACAAATATTTGTCTATATGTGTATATGTGTGTGTGATTGTGTGTATGCACAGGGTGTTGTGTGTGGGTGCAATGCGCTTATGTGTGCGTGCAGCACGTGTGTAACTATGTGTGTGTGTGTATGTGTACACAGAGTGTGTGTGTAGGTGTATATGCATAGAGTGTCTGTATGTGTGTCTCTGTGTGTTTGTGTGTGTGTGCGCGTGTGCATGTAACTCTGTGTGTGTGTGTGTGCGCGCGCGCAATGCATGCATGTGTAATTATGTATGTATATGTGTATTGCAAGGAAGAAGACTTACATGTGTCGCTCGTTGAAGAAGACGATTAAGACACCAAGGAAGATAAATAGATGAGGGGTTTTGGAGATAAGACTAATTAGAGTTTTAATAGAGTTGTGAAATATTTGCACACCCTTAAAACCAATGGTCCTTTGTCAATCCATTAATCACCTATCAACCCGCGAAAAAATTCGTAATTGTCGCATAACCCGACACCACGGTACAACATCCCTTTTTACCGGTATCATAGACAACACAGAGCATAGGCCAGAGGTCTTATATGGGCCTTGTGGAAAATGAGTCTGTCATCTTCCATTGCGAGAATGGATAAGGTTGAGAGTTCATGGTGTAGCTTGGGCTCTGATGACCGTCACAGCTTGATATCAGAGCTTAGGTTTACGATTTACCTAAGGCTTGCAGAGCATATGTCTAGGCCATTGCATTTATTGTGCATTACATGTTATGTGCTTTAAATGCTACATGTTATGTGTTATGTGAACAATATGCATGATTAAATGTATATGAAAAAAAGACACTGGTGTTAGAGAACATAACATTGGGGGTCGAAAAAAGAAGGAACAGGATGGTTCATAGTGTAGATGTCTACTAGTGGTGGCACACGCTTTACTAGTGAAATAAGGAGAGAAATCTCAAAATTTCGACTCGATCCCTATCTTGGGATACTAAGTTAATACTCTATTGCTATTTGACATGTGTGTAGATGGCAGATAGAGGAAGAAGACAACAAAGTGGTCAAGGAGATGGGCGGGACAATAACTAATCACCCCCGGCCTTTAACCAATAAGCCTTTATAGAGATGTATAATAATATTTTGGGCAAATGACACTTTTCCCCCTAAAAGATTGAAAAAAAATTAATTTATACAATGAAAGATTGATTGTTCCAAATTGCACCAGCAATGTTAATATTTGGTGACAATGTGACCCCAAAACTGACAGACGTCGAACTTGCTGTTAACCCAAGCTATTACGTGAGATGCACGTGATAACCTGAAGGACAATCATGTAAAAACACCATAGATCCAATTCCCCCTTTTATTCTGGGCAATCAAGAATGAGGCTTCAGGGAGATGGGATTTCGTTAAGGGTGATTGCCCCTCTTTGAAAGCCAATGATTTCACTCTTCTCTAAACCAACAACCCTTCTTCACTTTGTTCTCAAGAGTGTCCATGGCTATGTATATATACACACACACACACACACATATTTGTGTGTTTGTGCGAGTAAAAATGTAAAGGGTTGAAACCCTTTCCATGTCTTTCTGTTTCTGCTTCTTCTTCTTTTTCTTCCATTGTTGGTGCCATTGTTGTTGTTCTTGGTATTGATGTTTGTTGGTGATGGTGATGGTGGTGGTGGTGGTTGTAGCTCCGGTGATTCAACACATATATTTGAGAGGCTGGGATGATATGATATGTTTTCTGAGCAAATGAATCGGGTATTGAGATAATCTGACCCGTATCTTGGCGGGGCAAACCTGATAGTGTGTGGGTATTTATCTCACATGCAACTGGTTTTGCAGCCTTGGCGTGAGTCATCCATTCTCTTTGTCTGATCAAATATAGAACTGAGTCTCACACTTTTAACTATAATTTTTTGGTTTTTTTCTAATATCTTTTTTCATTTTTAGTAGCAAAATTACCGGCTAAATCTTCATACCTAGATGTTTGATTTGATTGTGAAATCTTTATATTTGTTAAAATAGTAAAAGAATGATTGGCTAAATGATATGAATAATAAATTAGTTAAATTTAATTTAGACATGAATAATATGATATAAGTGAAATTAGATATTTTATAATTATTAAAAAAATTATATAGTATTATATGGGCTGTTTTAAAATTAAATATTTTTTTATTAACACAAAAATTAAAATGAATAAAATACAAATTAAAAATAATATAACATCATACATTGCCAAAATAAAAGGGGGAATTGAGTCTATGGTATTTTTACATGATTGCCCTTCAGGTTATCACGTAAAGCTCACATGATAACTTAGATTAACGGCAAGTTCGACGTCCGTCAGTCTTGGGGCCACATTGTCACCAAATATTAACATTGATGGTGCAATTTAGAAATATTAATCTTTTATGTCGCAAATTAAAATTTTTTCAATCTTTTAGTGGCCAAAGTGTCATTTACCTTAATATTTTTTGTAGCAGAAGATGTATAATAATATTTGTTTGTGAGCAATATTACAAGGATCTAATTTGTTGACCTAATTTACTATAGTCATTGAATTGATTGTGAGTTTTATCAAATAATATAACTTTATATTAATTCAACAGTTATAATAAAGTCACGAAGATCAACAAATTATACGAGACTTTTAGATTCAAATAATATTATTTTTTTCTGTAAATTTCAATGACCACTGATTGTTTCTTATATTTTCACTATACCCCTTTTTGTTCTTGTAATTACACTGACATCCCTTGGGATGTGATAGATTGTAAAAGATTCCCCCCTCAACTACTATTACTTGGGTAAAAAAAAACCCTAATTTTTCTTAGTTGATGATGCAATGTTGCAAACAAATTTAATGATACAAACTCCTATTTTTCCCTCAAGTTGTATAACACCTGCTATCACTTTGGTATTTTTTTTATTTTGACCTCACACATTGGATCATTCTGACAAATATCTTCAAACACATAAAAATCTCCAAAAAAAAGCTACAACTCTCCTCACTCACGTTAAAGCTCTCCTTAGTTTCAAAATAACTTGTGCAACCTAAATAGATGGAGTCATGGAGGTTGGGTGAAAATCTTACTTTCCAACACTTCATGGTAAAAAAAAAAAAACACTTCAAATAGATGAAAAAACTCTTTGGATCTCTTTAACCCTTTTACGCTATGAAGTGTCTAAGGTGAATTTTGTGATGGGTTAATGAGTAGTTACAAATTTTTCAAAGGTGTATATATAAAGGATATTTTGAACCAAAAAGAAAAAAGAAAAGTGGCGGAGGGTAAGATTGTAACTTTACAACTTCATTGCATGTCATTTAAGTGATTACACTGTCAAGGGGTTGCAGTGCAATTTTAAAAACAAGAAAAGGTGTAGTGAAACTGTTAGAAACAACAGGGGAGGTCATTGTAATTTACCCTATGCTTTTTGATGTGGGTGCCATTAATAGGGAGAGAGAAAAGAGAGGGGGATTGTATATTTAGAGTCTTCTATGTTTTAATTGTGGAAAAATGAACTTTTTTCCTTTTTAAGAAATGATCGTTAAAAGGAAGACAAATAGTAGGTATTATAATTTTTGATACAAGACCAAACTAAGAAATTTGCAGGTTAATGTTGATACAACTTATTATCACGAATGATGATGCACAAATTGGGTTTGTACACCACCAGTCAATTGAACAGTAAAAGATGTAGTAATTGATAAGTGAGAGATAGAGATAAAAGCAAGACAAGGTTTATAGTGGTACGGTCGACATGACCTACGTATTCACTGCTTATGTCAAGCAATATTGGGTAATAGACCCCA